CCAAGCTGTGCCATCAGGATCACTGCCAGACCACAGCTCCGTATGTTTCCTTCTTTTGGCGTTTTCATGCAAATTCTTCTCCTAGTTGAAGTTCAGTCCACTTCTATATCCTTCCCTTCAAGGCTCAGGGCTCCAGGATTATCTTCTGTATCTGTGTTAATTGGTTCCCCTTTTCTTTGTTGAAGAGGGTCTGTGCAGTCTTTCTGCCTAGTCCACCATCTTACCAGAACTTTGGAAGTACTTATTTTTGCTAAGAAATTTGGAAGACCTTGTCAACTGACTGGAAGATATTGATATCTGTGCCCATTTCAAGGAAAGGTGATCCAACAGAATGTGAAATTATTAAACGATATTACACGTAAGTAAAATTTTTCTGAAGATAATTCAAAAAGCTGGACTCAGAATAGAACATGGAATAAGAGATCATTGCTGATGTAAGTTGAATCTTAGCTGAAAGCAAAGAATATCATCAGAAAAATGTTTACTTGTATTCTATTGATGATGCAAAGCCATTTGACTGTGTGGATCATAACAAATTACGGATAACATTGAGAAGAATGGGAATTCCAGAAAACTTAATTGTGCTTATGAAGAACTTATACATAGAACAAGAGGTTGTCTTTCAAAAAGAACAAGAGGATGCCACATGATTTAAAATCAGGAAAGGTGTGTGCCAGGTGTGCCTTTTACCATACTTATTCAATTTGTAAACTGAGGAAATAATCCAAGATGCTGAACTATATGAAGAAGAACATGGCATCAGGATTGGAAGAAGACTCACTGACAACCTGCAATATACAGAAGACACAATGTAATTTGCTGAAAATGAAGATGACTTGATGAAGATTAAAGACTACAGTCCTCAGTATGGATTACACCTCTGCATAAAGAAAACAACATTTCTCACAACTGGACCAATAAGCAATATCATGAGAAATGGAGAAAAGATGAAATTGTCAAGGATTTCATTCCATTTGGACCCACAATCAACACTCATGGAAGCAGCCATCAAGAAATCAGATGTTGGATTGCACTGGGCAAATCTGCTGCAAGGGACCTGGGGAAGGACTTCAATTTGAAGATCAAGGTGTCTTTACCCCAAGCCATGATATTTTCAATAGCTTCATATGCATGTGGAAATTAGACAATGAAAAAGGAAGACTGAAGGAGAATTGATGCCTTTGAATTGTAGTGTTGCAGAAGGATACTGAAAGAACTATAGACTGCCAGAGGAAGGAACTGTCCTGGAAGAAATGCAGTTGGAATGCTCCTTGGAAGCGAGATTGGCCAGACTTAGTCTCACCCACTTTGGTCATGTTGTCAGAGGGACCATTCCCTGGAGAAGGATATCATGCTTGGTAAAGTGGAGGGCCAGAGAAAAAGGGGAAAGCTCTCAATGACATGGATTGACATAGTATCTGCAACGATAAATTCAAGTGTAGCAAGGATTGTGAGGATGGTACAGAACAGGGCACTTCTTTGTTCTGTTGCACATAAAGTCACTATAAGCAGAATTGACTCAACAGCACCTAACAATAACAACCAGGTTTTATGTATGCCTATGCCCTAAATTCTTGATCATATGCTAGCTACCTCCTAAAATGATTGAACGTCAATTGTTTTTGATACAGTGACTCTGTTTCTTCCATTTTCTTTTGATGCTTCCTGCATCATTAAATATTTTGTCCTTTCCACTGGTGTTGAGTCGATTCCAACTCATAGCAAACCCCACTGAGTTTCCAAGTGGTAAAATTTATGAAGTAGGTTGCCCCGTGTTCGCTCAGCAGAGTGGCTTGTGGATTTAAGCTGCCAACCCCCTTCAATATTGAAACTCAAGGCTTGAGTTTTTTCTTTAGTTCTTTCAGCTTAAGAAATGTCGAGCTTTTTCCTCACCTTTGTTTTTCTAATTTCAGGTCTCTGTACTTTTAATTTCTCTTTTCTTCCTATCTTTTTAGTGAACTTTTGCTTTCTTCATGCATGATATCCTGATGTCATCCCACAACTCATCTGGTCTTCGGTCATTTATGTTCAATATGTCAAATCTATTCTTCAGATGGTCTCTAACTTCAGGGGGGATATAATCAAGGTTGTATTTGGCTCTCTTGGATTTGCTTTAATTTTCTTCAGCTTCAACTTGAACTTGCATATGAGCAATTGATGGTCTGTTCCACAGTCCGCTCCTAGCCTTGTTCTGACTGATGATATTGAGCTTCTCAATTGTCTCTTTTCAGAGATATACTCAATGTGATTCCTCTGTATACTATCTGGTGAGGTTCATGTGTATAGTCACTGTTCATGCTGTTGAGAAAAGGTATTGCAATGAATAAGTGGATGGTCATCCAAAATTCTATCAAGTGATCTCAGGCATTATTTCTGTCACCATGGCTTTATTTTCTAGCTACTGATGCTTCCTCTTTGTTTTCAACTTTTGCATTTCAATCAGCAGTAATCATCAATACATCGTGATTGCATGTTTGGTTGCTTTCAGACTTCAGAAGTTGGTAAAATTTTCAATTTCTTTATCTGTGGCTTTAGTGGTTGGTGTGTAAATTTGAATGATAGTAGTATTAAGTGGTCTTCCTTGTAGATGTATAGATATTATCCTATCACTGACAGTATGGTAAAGGATCTCTGGTGGCACTGTGGTTAGGGCATTGGTCTGCTAAACAAAAGGTAGGCAGTTCCAACCCTCCTGGTCCATGGCAGGATAATGAGGCAATCTACTTCCATAAAGATTAACAACCTTGGAAATCTGATGGGGGTCTCTATGAGTCAGAATCAACTTGATGGCAGTGGGTGTAGTTTTTGTGTTGGACAGCATTGTACTTCAGGATAGATCTTGAAACATTCTTTTTGATGACGAATGCCACACCATTCCTCTTTAATTTGTCATCCCTGGCATAGTAGACCATATGACTGTCAGATTCAAAATGGCCAATACCAGTCCATTTCAGCTCACTGATGGCTAGGATACTGATCTTTATGCATTCTTTTTCATTTTTGACAACTTTCAATGTTCTTAATTTCATGCTTTGTGGATTCCACACTCTGATTATTAATGGATATTTAAAGCTGTTTCTTCTCATTTTGTATCATGCTCATCATTAAATGTAGGTCCAAGAAGTTTTACACATCATTAAGTTGACTCTACTTTGAGGAGGCAGGCCTTTCTTAGTTGTATTTTGAATGAAGAAGGAAGAAATCCAAGCTACACTGAAAGAATTGGAGGGGAAAAAAAAGGCTCCAGGAATTGATAGAATATTCATTAAGATGTTTCAACTAATAGATGCAGCACTGGAGCCACTCACTCATTTATGCCAAGAAAGTTGGAAGACGGCTACCTGGCCATCGGACTGGAATAGATCCATATTTATGCCCATTCCAGAGAAAGGTGATCCAATAGATTGTGGAAATTATCAAACAACATAATTAATATTACAATAAAGTAAAATTTTCCTGAAGATAATTAAAAACAGTTGCAGCTGCATATTGACAAGAAACTGCCAGAAATTCAAGCTGGTTTCAGAAGAGTTCATGGAACAAGGGATATCATTGCTGATGTCAGATGGATCTTGGATGAAGGAAAAAAATACCAGAAAAATGTTTACATGTGTTGTATTGACTATACAAAGGCATTCAACTGCATGCACCATTACAAATTATGGGTAACACCGTGAAGAACTGTAATTCCAGACCATGTAGTTGTGCTCATGAAGAACCATATGTAGACCAAGGGGCAGTTGTTCAAACAGAACAAGGGGACACTGAATGTTTTAAAATCAGGAAAGGTATGCATAAGGGTTGTAGCACAATCTAACTTACTGAAAGGGAAGTAAACTTTAAACACTTACTGATGAATATCAAAGATGCCATCCTTCAGTATGGATTACACTTCAACATAAAGAAAACAAAAATCCTCACAACTGGACCAATTAGCAACATCACAATAAATAGAGAAAAGATTGAAGTTGTCAGGGATTTCATTTTACTTGAATCCACAACCAACAGCCATGGAATCCACAGTTCAGGAGTCAGATGATGTATTGCACTGGACAAATCTGCTGCAAAAGACCTCTTTAAAGTCTTAAAGAGCAAAGATTTCACTTGAAGACTAAGATGCACCTGACCCAAGCCATGGTATTTTCCATATGTGCAACTGGTCTTTCCTCATATGCATGTGAAAGCTGGACAATGAATGAGGAAGACCAAAGAAGAATGGATACATTTGAATTGTGGTGTTGGCAAAGAATACTGCAAGTACCATGGACTGCCTGAAGAACAAACAAATCTGTTTTGAAAGAAGTACAGCTAGAATTCTTCTTAGAAGCAAGAATGGCCTGACTTTGTCTGACATACTTGGTAATGTTTTTAAAAGGGACCAGTCCCTGGGAAATGATATCAAGCTTGCTAAAATAGAAAGTCAGCAAAAAAGAGAAGACCCTTGGCAAGATGGATTGACCCAGTGGCTGGGGCTATGGGCTCAAGCATAGCAAATATTACGAGGATGGCACAGGATTGGGCAGTGTTTCATTCAGTTGTATGTAGGATTGCTGTAACTTGGAGCCAACCTGACGGCACCTAACAACAAGAACGTTCTCTAAGTGGCAATATACTGAATGGTTTTAAGCTAGTTTTGAACATTCATGTGAGGATGGCTAGCTCAGTTCTACAAATTCCTAAAGTATGGCGTACTCTTCAATAAAATAGGGATAATAATAAAAACACTTGCTTCATAAGATTGTTACAGCTGCCATAGAATTAGCAGTACGTAAATTCTAGCTATCGTTATTAACAGAAATCAAAAGGACTGAACATTTTACAATATGCTTTCACTATAAATTTTGTTAAGTATTATCTAGGCTAAATTGGACTTAAAAAGTGAAATAAAACAGAGGTAGAAAAGAGAAGAATAGGAGGGAAAAAAAAGAAAAGAAATATAGACACTCACTCAGAAGTGACTAAGTGTGTTGCAGTGCAAAATCAAATACTTGCATACTTACGGAGCTGCCCAAGTCGAGCTTTTTCTTTTTTACCAAACAAACGTCCTATTGAAGACTTGATCCCTTTCTTCTTGGGGGCTTTGTGAAGAGAGTCTTGGCTGCTATTGGCACTTCCAAGCCCAAGGCTTTCTGGCTCAAGGGAGGCAGATAAACTACTGCAAAACACAGAAGAGAGCAAACTGCTTGTTTTAACTGAACATCCACAGGTACACAAGGCTTGTTTCGTTTCTAAATGTACAAAAAGAAGAATAAGTAGCCTTTGAATGTTGTTTTCTCTCTTCTCTTCTCACCCCCACTTTTTCTATTAGGAAGATTTAAGTATAGTTTCCTCAGCCATTAAGGCCTTAACTACTGAAATTATTTCTGAAAAATTTAGTTTTGCTCCAAACGGATTTTTTGTTCTTATTCTGTGTATGGTCTCTAATGACTTAATGAACAATGGCTGGCTTATCAACTGTATGTTAAATGATCTTCCGTTATTTAACAGTTGATCATTTACCTGGTTCTTTCTCAGAGTTTGTTCTTTTTATCTTAAACATAATTACTGATATTAAGAAATATAAGTAATAATAAAATTTTAGTTGCTAATTTCACCTATTGTTTCACTGGATTTTTTCTCCAGCCACCTTTCTCTCAGTTTTGGAGTCTAATTTACTATATTTTAAATTATCTAGGCAGTATCTACAAGCAACTCATATACCCTAGTGATCACTACATATTTTTTCACTACATATACTTCTCATGCATACTTTTCTCATTTATACTTTTAGGTATATGATAATTCCAAATGATATTCATGCAGTTAGTCTAGTTTAAATTCATGGATAATAGATTCAACATTATATTAACAGGATACGTTTAATAAATATTGCTGTTATTTTTTTTACAAGTGTTAGTTTGATAATAATAATAATTCAACAATACCATGATGAATTATTTAACTTCACTTACTCATCCTGATTGATCTGAGTTCCCATTTTGTAAAACTCGAAAACAATAGTGTATCCTATGTTTAAATATAATTTATTCTTTTTTGAAGCTGGAGTAACCTTTTTCCCAATTACAAATTTAAAAGGAAGAAGAGGGAAGAGGAGAAAAGAAATGCTTTCCAGCAGCAAAAGCCTTGTTTTCAAAAACATTTTGTTATAAGATCATTATTTTAGTCTATATAAGCAATGTGTCCAGAGATACTACCATTGAAGAGAGTAAGAGGAAATACATTCATAAAGTAAACTGAATGCTTATATTTATTGGTCATTAATTTTATAGAAATCTATTTTCAATTTTTTATCTAAATAGGAATGTGAAGAGTTGTTACAATGAAGCAGATATTCCTGACTTCCCTTTTCATTTAACATTTATCCAGTAAATAAATGCTTTTATTTTATTTTTCCTTTCTAAGAATTTTTTGCTTGAGAAGCTGTTATAGCTAGCAGCAGCAGCACCCACGGGATGGTCTGCTGAAAGTAATGAGGTATAATAGTGGATTTTTTAGACCTTAATTGGTCCTATACTACAAAATCCCAAAACCTACTGCAATTAAGTCAATTCTGACTCATAGTGACCCTACATGACAGAGTAGAACTGCCCCATAGGGTTGCCAAGGCTGTAAGTCTTTATGGAAGCAGATTGTATCATCTTTCTCACATGGAGCAGCTGGTAGGTTCAAACCACCAACCTTTTTGTTAGCAGCTGAATGCTTTAAGCACTGCATCACCAGAGCTTCTTACACTATAGGCCTAATTTATACTGCTGTCTTAGAATTCCTTTAGTTTTGTGTTACTATTCCTAATAAGTCTTGCCTATAGCCCAACGGAAGGTTGGGCAATCCTACTTCCATAGTGATACTGCCTCGGAAACCCAAGGAGGGGTCGCTATGAGTCGGGGACGACTGGACGGCACATAACAACAACAACATAGCCCAACCACATTTTAATAGCGAGTATCTGCTAAAAAGAGGAGAGCTAGTCTCATAAATATTGATTAGTATCAAGACCACAAATATATAACTAATTTAAACTAAAAGTTTATCACAAAATAGACATTTGGTTAATTTATAAATGATATTGGGGAGAGGGAGAAGCAAAATACTAAAAAAGAGTGTTATGGATCAAATCAGGTATTCCATATAAAATTTAAAACAATCTCTTTTATAACACAAGGGAAGGGAGTGTACAATGAGCAGTGTTCTGGGAGAATCGCACCTTCGAGCTTCATTGTGGTAGGAAGAGGGGAGGGTGTGAGTCATTCTGATAGCTCTAGGTGTAGGGGGAGGAGAGGTTTCACATTTAATTGTAGCTTTATCTTCCCGACCATCTTCTTCCACCACTGCAATCTAGAAAGAAACAAAAAAAAAAAAAAAAAAAAAAAAAAACAGATAAAATTTGTCTAGAATTTCAACTGAAATATTACAAAAGAAGAAATAACAAAGCAAATCTATTTGAATAATCCTAATACAATAAGAAACACACACACAAAAAAAACCTTTGGGATACGGAGGTCTTACATATATAAATTCACATTATCAAAGAGTGTGAATTAAAGAGCTATTTAAAAGTGAAGACACTTCAATTAAAAATCATATATTCATTACACAAAGCATATTGTTTCAGAGTACATAAGCACTATAAATCCATATCTGGGGACTATGGAAAAGCTATGCTGTATGTAAACTCTATATAAAAAGATATTGAACACATATTTGAGCCAATTAACTGAAAAATAAACATTATATATAGTCATTTTATTATAATTTCATTATCTTTTAAGTGGGAGACTTTTGAAGTGAGAAGAAAAGTTGGCAAGATATAACTTCGATAAAGTGTTTTCAAATCACTAAGGCTAATAAAATATACTCCAGTATGTTAGAAAATGATTTGTGTTATATTAAAAAAATATATCTAAGGATATAATCTTTCAAATTGTTTTATTTCACTACCAGTCATGGAAAAATTGACAAAGGCACACATAAAATCATAAGAAAAGGGAATAGGGAGGAAATTGTTTTAAAGAAACATTCAGTTCCAGGTTCAGACAATTCAGGAGACCATCATTTTTGTCAGAGATAGAGCTATAGAGCTATATTAAAACAAAATTTTTAATCATCAGATTAGCTGTCAAGAAATACTTTTCACAACACTGATACCATTTCTTTTATGACATCACCGTGTACTGAAATATATAGAAAGACTGTGGAAAACACAATTAAGACATATACGGTTCTGGAGGTTCTGATAAAGAAAATTCAATATGACAAAAGCAAAAATTTTACAGCTGTGTTTCAGGTAATGTCTCATTTATTTTCTATGTTAAGTTGTTATGCATCAATAGTTTTGGTATGATAAAGACTTATGCATTGGGGGAACTGATTGGATTTGTTTCTGGTGTAAATATTGTTTAGAAATTCAGGATGCTCAGTCCTCATAATCTAATCATTGCCCCAAAATGCATAAACACTTTTATTTTGGAAGCCCTTGTTTTTATGTTCATACTTAAACAATTCAATAACACTTGAATTTTTTAAAATGTTTTATGTTAATTTAAAAAAACCTTTAACTGGAGGGACTATCATTGTTAAGCTTTCATAGAGAACATAATATTATTTATCTGCAAATCATAAAAAGTTTCCTACAGTACCTTTCTCCGATGTTTCCTTAAGTCACTTGGCTGTGATTGGAAATAAAAAGAAAATAGAGCTAGTCAGTGACTACAACTTGAAGATTTTATAATTTCAACTAGAATCTAAAGCTTTGTCACTCAGTGTACTTGTTAATTTTACTCAAATAAATAAAATTTATTTTTTGTTAAATTATTCCATGAAATATTATACTTTTGTTGCTTTAAGGAAATAGACTGATTTTACTCCATCTGACAAAGTTAGCACCTTATATACGTTTATGGATTTGTTGCTTGTTAAAAGTGAATACAATGAGGACATAATACAATATACTCAAAAATTGTGCCTGGAACTGAACTCACCTCTGTGGTTAAATTTTCAGCCAGATGATAGATAGGCATATAAGGTGAACAATAATACCAGGGAGGTACGCATACATTAGACCAATCAATCAACCGTAAGAGATCAAAAGGACAGCATTTGCCCAGGGATAGAAAAAAGGACAAAAGGACAAATGGAAATGCTAAACACAGACAGGAAGTGGGAAGAGTGCTGTTATATTGTGGAAATTGCCATGACTGTCACAAAACAAAATGTGGATGACTGTTGAATGGAAAATATGTTTTCTCTGTAAACTTTCACCCAAATCACAATAAAAAAAATCCATAAACATACACAATACATCTAATACTATGTTTTTAATGTCTAATTTTCTGTCACTAACATTTCTAATTTTCTTCAGAATGTTCAAATGTTTCTTCAGTATTTCCTATAGCTAAATGAAAATATAGCTTTGTTTTACTACAACAACAATGAATTTGGTAAAAACTTTCATTAGCTAAAAAAGAATTTACTGTTTTACTGATTTATTTAAATATTTGCCCTATTTTTTTCAGTGCTCAAATTATAATGCAATAATGTTCACTTATCACTGATGAATTTACTAATAGTTGTTCAAAAAAAGTATGAGAGCAGTAGCATCCTTTTCATATATGCAAATTACATGTAAATTATTATAGTACTATAAAAAAAAACAAACTCACTGCCATCTAGTCGATTTTCACTCATAGCGACCTCTTGTGGGTTTCTGAAGTTGTAAATGTTTATGGAAGTAGATTGCCCAGTCCTCCTTCCATGGAGTGGCTGGTGGATTTGAACTGCCAACCTTGTGGTTAGTAGTCAAATGCCTTAGGCATATGCCACCAGAGTATAATAAAAATAATAGCACTATCAAGGGGCAGGACACTAATGTCTATAAAAGTATTTTCAAGGGACAAATGACTATGTTGTAAAAATGTAAGAAAAAAAATATTAATAATAAAGCAAACCCACTGCTGTGGAGTCAGATCTGACTCATAGCAACCCCTCCTTGGGTTTCTGAGGTGGTATCACTGCGGAAGTAGATTGCCCAACCTCCCTTCCAAGGAGTGGCTGGTGGGTTTGAACCACCAGCCTTCTGGTTAGTAGTCAAATGCCTTAGGCATTATGCCACCAGAGCTCCCAAGAAAATAACAGAACTACAGAAATCAAGGTTTTGACTAAACACATCTAGACTGCTAACTAAATTGTTATTTGGGTTCAAGATTCTTACTATAGCTTTTGTGTAAGTAGGTCATTATTATTTTCTGTAGTACATATTACACATACACAAACTAAGTCAGAGACAGTAATGTTATTAACCAATAAAATCTTATGGATGACTCCTAGATTTCTAAAATAAGCAGATCACAAGTGCTTCAGAATATTAGATTAATGTATTATAGTTGGCTGAAAGTTACACTGTATTGGATGGAATCAGTTCTGATTAGTTGATTATTCTTATTGGCCATTGCCTGTGCTGTCTATTTTTTAAATATTTTGAATATCAACTCTGAAAATGAGCACAGGATAGAGGATTCGATGATTTAGAAAGGTAGCTGTTTCCTTTAAATAATAATAATAATAAATCGGCCATTTTTATTTTATATAGGTTTCATTGCATGTTGTTAATTGCCTTCACGTCAGCTCTGACTCCTGTTGACCTTATGTGTAATAAAACAGAACAGTTGCCTGGTCTGGTGCCATCTTTATGATCTTTGGCATATTTGAACCTATAGTTGTGTATTGTGCAAACCCATCTCCCGGCAAGTCTCCCTCATTTCCGTTGGCCCTCTTCTTTGCCATACATGATAACCTTTTCTAGCCAGCTATCTTTCCTAATAACGCGTCCCAAGTAAGCAAATCAAAATCTCGTCATCCTCATTTCCAAAGGACATTCTGGTTGTATCTCTTTTAAGAATGTTTTATTTGTTCTTTTGTCATAGTATAACCAGTATTGTGTGTCAGTATCACTGCTCAAACACAGAGAAGCTCCAAAATGGTAAAGAATTTGATAATGGGGAATGTTGCCATACTATGTAAATTGCTTTCTATTTCAATTCTTAATTTTAAAATGAAAGAAAAATATCTTTACCTATTTACATAACTGCAAGTCTATTAATAGAAAATTATATATTTTAAAAGATGAAATGAGACATTTACTGGTTTATAAGACATTTTATCTTAGGGTAAGAGCATTTTATATATATATACACACTTTGTACATATGTATGCATATATATGCATTCATATTTATACACATATTCATACAAATTATAATGAAAATAATTCTCAGTTTTAGCCAGATGACATATTATTGCAAAATACCTAAAGATGCCATGCAGACAATTAATTAAGCATCTTTATTCACATATAACCCATTGCTGTTGAGTCAATTCCAACTCATAGCAACCAAAAACCGAAAACCAAACTCATGGCCATTGAGTCGATTCTGACTCATAGTGACCCCAATTGAGTTTCCAAGGCTATAAATATTTACTGAAGCAGATTGCCCCATTTTTCTCCCACAGTGTAGCTAGTGGGCTTGAATCACTGACCTTCCGGTTAGCAGCCAAATGCTTTACCCACTACTCCACCAGAGCTCCTTATAGCCACCTTATTTAAAAAAAAAAAAAAATCAAACTCGTGCCATCGAGTTGATTCTGACTCATAGCAACCCCGTTGGGTTTCCAAGGCTGTAAATCTTTACTGAAGCAGACTGCCCTGTCTTTCTTCCATGGAGCAGCTGGTGGATTTGACCCACCAATTGACCTTTTGGTTAGCAGCCAAACGCTTTACCCACTATACCACCAATGCTCCTTATAGGATATAGTATAACTGCCCCATAGGGTTTCCAAGGTTGTAAATGTTTACTTGAAGCAGATTGCCACATCTTTCTCCCACAGAGCAGCTGGTGGGTTCAAACTGGTGACCTTTCAGTTAGCAGCCACGCTTTTAACCACTGTACTAATACAGCTCCTAGTAGGGTTGCTATGAGTTGAAATTGACACAATGTCAATGGATTCTTCACATATATTTTGGATATACATAGAGGCAATGGGTATGTTTATAATAGCTTCATGGCTTTTGACCAAAAGCACTATATACACTTAATATCATTCTCTATTATCAATTATTTCATTCTCCATTTCCTGTACTTGTGGCAGATTTTACAATGTATAAACTATTTGACCTATTAATTAACTTAATTAATCTTCATCTAAGGTTTTTATTTTTAATTGAAATTGTATCATTTCAGTAATATAATTTTTAATTTCCTTTAGGGAAATATAAAATTTTACTTCTATAAACAGAATATTTTAGTGGTCATTATTGCTCTCATTTCAACATATTTTGGGTAATTACAGAGAAAAAAGCAGAATAGTCAGTGCTTTTGAGTTAGGCAGATTTTGAAGAAAAATCCAGCTCTACTGCTAACTCTCTGTGTGAACATGCACAATTCACTCCTATCTGCCAAGCTTCAGAACTTTAGTGTTATTAGGAGAAGTTTAAATGACATCATGGTATCAGTAGTCATTCCACTTACACTCCCCAGAGGTTTTTCTTCATTATTCTTAACAAATGGCATTTTGCTTTTCTCTCATTTATATTAAGTGGTCTCCTAAGGTCAGCTTTCAATACTTAATTTCAAATATAAAGATTAAAGATATAAAGACTTGTACAGAGTGTAAAAATGGTGCCATAAAATTCTAAAACAAAATTGAGATTTTTCATATTACTTTTTATGGCCTTTCTTATAACTTTTATCATGATTTTATAGTTTATATATTCTACATTTATAAAATTTTATTTAAATAATAAATTGAAGAAATTATAATAAATATTTTTTTATTATTTATATGTTTTAAAAAATAGCAGTCCCAATTTATTTTATCACATGCCATTACTAAAAATGTACTTAGTGGTTATAAGCCATTCAGATTTCTGCTCTGTCATTTACTTACTATGTGTCCTTGGGATATGTTGGTTATCATTTCCTCATCTCATAATGAAATTAATAATTGTATCAACATCATAGAATTGCTTTAGAAATAATGAAATAATAAAAAACACAGAAAGCTCTTAGATTAGATTAAATACCTGTAAATGTTAACTAATATGTCATGAGTTTTACCAGGGACAAGGAAACTCTAGACTCATCATCATACCAGTGTCATGACTCCCATCCGATCCATTTCCCTGGCAGGGCTTCGCGGGGTGAGCTTTGGTGTTGAGTGCCCACTTGGAGGAGATGAACTGGCCAGTGAGGAGGCTGTAACTGAGGCAGTGATGGAAGTACCTGGGTGGACCCTTGCCAAATTCAGGCCTTCCAGGCTCACACTAGCCACTCTGTTCTCAATTTCTTCGGCACGCAATTCCGTAGATTCTTTTTCTTCCTGAATGAGCCTGAAAGACATAGTTTAATATTGATTCATTGCCATTCTAAGTCTGGAGGTGGTACAAACAGTTTATATTCAACTATTAACCTCCAGGAGCTCTGGTAGCATAGTGCCTAAGGCACTTGACTACTAACCAGAAGGCTGGCGGTTCAAACCCACCAGCCACTCCTCCGAAGGAAGATGGGGCAATCTACTTCCATAGTGATACTGCCTCGGAAACCCAAGGAGGGGTCACTATGAGTGGGATCCGACCCAACGGCACATAACAACAACAACATTAACCTCCAGGTTGGTGATAAGAACGCACCCCATGGCACCACAGAAGAAAGTCCTGGTGATCTGCTTCCATAAAGGTTATATCCATGAAAACTGTATGAAGGAGTTCTATGCTGTAATATATGGGGGGTTGTCATTGTTGAACTCCACTAGACAACATAAGGGTAATTGGAATTCATTTAAGTCAATACTGTATTATTCTGTGGACACTGTATATCAAATTAAATAGTTTTTTAAATACATGTTTTTTTTTTTTTTTTACCCCTCTTCTCTAGGCTCCGTGCCTTTCAATAAGTTTCAGAGACTTCCTGGCTGAAATTCAGAAAATCCTCCTTTTCAAATGACTAGCTACTCTAGCTTGACCTTCTACCTTTTAAAAAACTCTTTTAAAGCTTTGCCTGCCTGATTAATTCATTTCACTAATTCTAATCTTAGATTTGAACTCAGGCAACAAAACATAGCAAATAAACAAACAAAAATAGACTTTTAGAATCCTAGATACCTTTATAGACATTGAAGACAACCTTTTACCCAATGGGGAAACACAAAAAGGAATTCATCAATAGACTCTTTGTTAGTGGTCACTCACAATAATCTTGCACTGAAATAAAATCCTGGGTGTTTCTTTTTAATATTAACATATATACTTAACAAATCTCCTTTTAAATAATACCAGGGAATTCAGTAATGTGTATATTGTGTGTTTTTGTGTGTGTGTGTTTGTATACATATCTCCAGCCTTAGTTAAAATTAAGTTTAAAATCATAAAATCTAAGGCATAATGGAACATAATGAAAAAATATTAAAAAAGCAACACAGTTGACAAAAATGCTTTTGTGAAGGCACCACAATAGCGATTACCCTTTCCCTCTAGATAAAAGAGAAATTTCAAAAATATTTACAAATCAACTATGAAAAAGGAACAAGGGACAAAGAACATTAGCTATGTTGCATAAAGGTTCAACTTAAGTTGAAAAAAATATATATATATACAGAGAGAGAGAGAGAGAGAAAGAGAGAGAGAGAGAGAAAGTTGTTATAATGAATTGTATAGTTTGATAAGAGGGTCAGAAATATCTCCTGTGATATTTTTTTCTTAAATGTAAATGGCTTAGTATTATCACCTTAAAAAACGAAAAAAGGCATTTTGTATTTTTAGAATGCTTAATGGCAAAATGATTTGACTCCTGGAAAATACGGTAATAAGCAACATGATTCTTTTGTATGATGAAATTTGAGTTATTAACTCTAAATCTATTCATTGCAAAGGAGACTCAAACCTAGGGAGACAAGTTGAATAAGAGATCAATTGAAATTTGATCACACAGGAAATCAGATGCTGCCTAGATATTATTTATTTGGAAAAATGAATGGTAATGTTTTGATCTTTGCATTCTGTATTTAAACACAGAAAACAAAACAATCAACATTACCATCACCAACAATAAAAACTGATTGCCTTTAAAATGCACTAGTATTTTAGGGAAGGAATCCACACAGGAATCATACAGAAGATAAAAGGATAAAAAGATTACAAAAAGTAAGGCAGATAAAATGGGCAATCTGCTTCTGTAAAGATTTACCACCTCAGAAACCCAATGGGGTCGCTATGAATCAGAATCAACATGAAAGCAGTGAGGTTTTTTTTTTGGGGGGGGGCGGGGCTGGTGTAGAAGAACAGATCAATCAATGAATACAGAAGCAGCAAATGAGTTTGAAGTAAGAAATCATTCCTTTTAAGACAATCAGTTGAGTTGTGAAAAAGTCAGAAAAAAAGCATTTTAAAATGGCTAAATTATTCTATGAAAGAATGCAAGACTTACCTAGAGACAATCGTCTAATTTTATATATTTCTTACAAGTTGGCAACTAATGTACATTATTTGATTTAGGGGAAAAGTATATTGAAGAACAGTATTTTAAACATATTTTTTGGATAGCAACTGAATTTGTCTAAGCCAAAATTTTTACTGGCAATACTACTAATGTAACACAGCAAAGAGTAACTGAAGGAAAACAGATTATTATTGAGGGTAGGTGTTGATATTTACCATCAAAATAAATATCACAAGAGTATATGCTAGATTTCAAACCTAATCATTGAGTTCAGCCATGTTTAGACAGCATCAGAAATTATTATTCAGTTAGAATTCATCTTTTAGATCATTTTTTTCTATTTATAGTAATCAACTATTTCTGGAGCACCTTTCATATATCAAGCAAAGTCTAAAATCTAGAAATAAAACAGTGAGCAAAACTAGATACATTTTTTGTTCATATAGACAATCATTAATTAAATAATCACAAAAATTTTATCAATATTTATACACTGTGATACATACTACAAAGGAGAACTGATGAACTGTGAAGTCTTCTCTGAAGAACTGAGAGTGAAACTCTTCATGATGAGTGAGGAAAAGGTGGTGAAATGTTAAGGCACACATATGAAATGAGGAGAGTGCTCACTAAGAAACCAACAGCAATGGAATGGGAGAGAGTATGGCACATTTGATGAACTGGAAGGAATGGATAATGGGGCATGGAGCAGGAGAGGGGAATGGTTTGAGAACGCTGAGATAGGTGGGCCCAATATATCATATCAGTGATTTGTTCTCTATCTTAAGAACAGTTGAAGGGTTTAAAAAATAGAGTACATGGATATTTGGGTTTTAAGAGTTGACTCTTCATGTTAGGCAGAGTTATATAGAAGCCTAAATACTACAAAGAAACTAGATAGGAACTATAATTGTTATCCAGATGAGGAATGACTGTAATAGGCAATAGCCTGATCACAGTTAAGATAAAGGTTTGAATCATATAAAGATAAAAATATAGTAATAATTTCTGGATATCCATCTGCAGAAAAATGAAACAAGATGTACCTCACACCACACAAAAAAACTAACTTCAGATGAATCAAAGCCTTAAATGTCAAAGATAAAACTATAAAGTTCCTCCAGGAAAAAAAAAAGGTGCAAATTTAGGGGTCCTCATTTATTGCATAAATAGACTAGAAAGCATAACCCAAAATGCACAAACAGCAGAAAAGAAACTAGATGAATGGGACCTTGCAAAAATTAAATTTTTATGTGCTTCTAAAGACTTCTCCAAAAGAGTCAAAAGAGAACCTGCAGATTGGGAAAAAAAAAATTGGCAATGACATTTCTGACAAGGGACTTATCTTTAGAATTTATAGAAAACTCCAACACCTCAACAACAAAAAGTCTAATAATCCAATTGAAAAGTGGTCAGAAGACATGCATAGATCCTTCACCAAAGAGGATATTCATGTGGCCAACAAATACATGAAGAAACATTCATGATCATTAGCCATTGTTGTTGTTATGTTCTGTCAAGTTAGACACGACTCATAGCAATCCCCCCTTGGGTCTCCAAGGCGGTATCACTATGGAATTAGATTGCCCAACCCTCCTTTCTGAGGAGAGGCTGGTGAGTTTGAACTGTCAGCCTTCTGGTTAGAAGTCAAATGTCTTAGGCATTAGCCATTAGAAAGATGAAAATCAAAACAATGAGACACCATCTTGCCCCAGCACTAGTAGCAAAGTTCAACAAGACAGAAAATAAAAATGTTGGCAAGGATGTGGAGAGATTAGGATTCTCATACACTGCTTGTGGGACTGTAAAATGATACAACCAATATGGAAAGCAGTATGGCGATTCGTTAAAAAGTTGGAATTAGAAATACCATTTGACCCAGCAATTCCATTACTAGGTATATATCCTAAAGAAGTGAGGCAGGACAAGGACAGATATACATACACATCCATGTTCATTGCAGCACTATTTTTAATAGCAAAAAGATGGAAACAACCTAGGTGCCCATCAATAGAAGAATGGATAACCAAACTATGGTACATACACACAATAGAATACTATGCAACCCTAAAGAATAATGTAGAATCTGTAAAACATTGCATAACATGGATGAACTTGAGGGACATTATGCTGAGTGAAATAAGTCAATCACAGAAGGACAAATATCGTATTAGCCCATTATTATAAAAAGTCAAGGACAGATTTATATATGGAAGGAAATTGTCTTTGTTGGTTACCCAGGGTGGAAGGCAAGGTGAGAGAACACTTGTAGATAAACAGAGACAAATATTGATTTGGGTGAAGAGAAGGACAATGTACCAAATGTGAGTGATCAACACAGTGGCATTGAGGAAGAGGAAGACATAGAGAGGTGCATGGGAGGCACAGACAACAAAGATGAACCCTTTTTGCCCATCCAGTACTGCACTGTCAGTGATGGCAAACATTGATCTACAAGGGGATAGATGGGTGGACAGGCTGAATGATTAGGTATGTCTATGCAGGGGGGAGTGTACCTATGACCATGTATAGGGTTGGCAGACAATGTTTCTACAAGTGTATGTTCTGTAAGAATTTCCAGGTATACAGTAGAGCTGACAAGGGATAAGTTTGTAGTCACTTCTTGGCCACAGCCAGTTACCCAGAGGGAGCAAGTAGTTGGACCTGTGGGCTCAAGACCATGGTCACAGGGGACATCAAGCTTACTTGGCATAACATACTATACAAAAACATTGTTCCACATCCTATTTTGTCTAGTAGCGACTGGGATTTTAAAAGCTTGCAAACAGCCATTTAGATGCACCAATGGGTCTCTCCTCAACCAGAGCAAAGAAGAATGAAGAAAACCAAAGATGCATGGAAACAATTAGTCTAAGGGACTGGTACACCATGTGAT